GGACGTGTACCACTGTGTGTATACTGGGACGTGTACCACTGTGTGTATACTGGGACGTGTACCACTGTGTGTATACTGGGACGCGTACCTATGTATATATACTGGGACGTGTACCACTGTGTGTATACTGGGACGTGTACCACTGTGTGTATACTGGGACTTGTACCACTGTGTGTATACTGGGACGTGTACCACTGTGTGTATACTGGGACTTGTACCACTGTGTGTATACTGGGACGTGTGGCACTGTGGGTATACTGGGACGTGTACCTCTGTATATATATTGGGACGTGTACCTCTGTATATATATTGGGACGTGTACCTCTGTATATATATTGGGACGTGTACCTCTGTATATATACTGGGACGTGTACCTCTGTATATATATACTGGGACGCGTACCTATGTATATATACTTCGACGCGTACCACTGTGTGTATACTGGGACGTGTACCACTGTGTATACTGGGACGTGTACCACTGTGTGTATACTGGGACGTGTACCACTGTGTGTATACTGGGACGTGTACCACTGTGTATACTGGGACGTGTACCACTGTGTGTATTCTGGGACGTGTACCACTGTGTGTATTCTGGGACGTGTACCACTGTGTGTATTCTGGGACGTGTACCACTGTGTGTATACTGGGACGTGTACCACTGTGTTATACTGGGACGTGTTACCACTGTGTGTATACTGGGACGTGTACCACTGTGTGTATACTGGGACGTGTACCACTGTGTGTATACTGGGACGTGTACCACTGTGTGTATACTGGGACGTGTACCACTGTGTGTATACTGGGACGTGTACCACTGTGTGTATACTGGGACGTGTACCACTGTGTGTATACTGGGACGTGCACTCCTGTGTGTATACTGGGACGTGTACCACTGTGTGTATACTGGGACGTGCACCCCTGTGTGTATACTGGGACGTGTACCACTGTGTATACTGGGACGTGTACCACTGTGTGTACACTGGGACGTGTACCACTGTTTATACTGGGACGTGTACCACTGTGTATACTGGGACGTGCACCACTGTGTGTATACTGGGACGTGCACCACTGTGTGTATACTGGGACGTGCACCACTGTGTGTATACTGGGACGTGCACCACTGTGTATACTGGGACGTGCACCACTGTGTGTATACTGGGACGTGCACCACTGTGTATACTGGGACGTGCACCACAGTGTATACTGGGACGTGTACCACTGTGTGTATACTGGGACGCGTACCACTGTGTGTATACTGGGACGCGTACCACTGTGTATACTGGGACGCGTACCACTGTGTGTATACTGGGACGCGTACCACTGTGTGTATACTGGGGCGCGTACCACTGTGTATACTGGGGCGCGTACCACTGTATGCATGCTGGGACGCGTACCACTGTGTGTGTGCTGGGACGCGTACCACTGTGTGTGTGCTGGGACGCGTACCACTGTGTGTGTGCTGGGACGCGTACCACTGTGTGTGTGCTGGGACGCGTACCACTGTGTGTATGCTGGGACGCGTACCCCTGTGTGTATGCTGGGACGCGTACCACTGTGTGTATGCTGGGACGCGTACCACTGTGTGTATGCTGGGACGTGTACCACTGTGTGTATGCTGGGACGTGTACCACCGTGTGTATGCTGGGACGTGTACCACTGTGTGTATAGCTGGGACGTGTACCACTGTGTGTATGCTGGGACGTGTACCACTGTGTGTATGCTGGGACGTGTACCACTGTGTGTATGCTGGGACGTGTACCACTGTGTGTATGCTGGGACGTGTACCACTGGGGTGTATGCTGGGACGTGTAACCACTGTGTGTATGCTGGGACGTGTACCACTGTGTGTATGCTGGGACGTGTACCACTGTGTATGCTGGGACGTGTACCACTGTGTGTATACTGGGACGTGTACCACTGTGTGTATACTGGGACGTGCACCACTGTGTGTATACTGGGACGTGCACCACTGTGTATAGTGGTACGTGCAACACTGTGTATACTGGGACGTGCAACACTGTGTATACTGGGACGTGTACCACTGTGTATACTGGGACGTGTACCACTGTGTATACTGGGACGTGTACCACTGTGTATACTGGGACGTGTACCACTGTGTATACTGGGACGTGTACCACTGTGTATACTGGGACGTGTACCACTGTGTATACTGGGACGTGTACCACTGTGTATACTGGGACGTGTACCACTGTATACTGGGACGTGTACCACTGTGTATACTGGGACGTGTACCACTGTGTATACTGGGACGTGTACCACTGTGTATACTGGGACGTGTACCACTGTATACTGGGACGTGTACCACTGTGTATACTGGGACGTGTACCACTGTATACTGGGACGTGTACCACTGTGTATACTGGGACGTGTACCACTGTGTATACTGGGACGTGTACCACTGTGTATACTGGGACGTGTACCACTGTGTGTACTGGGACTTGTACCACTGTGTGTACTGGGACGTGTACCACCTGGAGGGGAGGGTTACGATGGGATAATAATGCGATTAAATCTTTATTTTGATAGCATCCGTAATGTAATGCTTCGTTAAGGGATCAGATACTATCATTTATTGCTGATTGTCGTTATGTCTTAAGTGGAATCTGAACGCAACCTGAATGTAAGTTATAGACGGCGAAAACTTGCTGGTGTTGTCTTGAATCCTGATAAACGAGTTTCAATACTTTATAGTTTGACCAGTGTGCAGTATTTGTTTGTTGACACTAATTTGATTAGAGACGACATATTTGTATTAACCCAGAAGGGTTAATAATCCAGGATAAGCCAAGAAAGCCAAGCATGTGGCTTTATATCATGTTGGTCCTTAGGTTCTCTCCTCTGCCACCCACAACAGTCTACTAACATATAGGTACCACAAATATATAATTACTACCAGTACATGTACAAGGTATACAGACCATAGCTGACATCTATGACATACTACTATATAGAAAGACCTTTGTTATGCAGAGCATTTCCCGCAAATTAGGTCAGTTTTGTCCCAGGATACGACCCACACCAGTCCACTAACACCCAGGTACCAATTATTATTGATGGGTGAACACAGACAACTGGTGTAAGGAAACACGTCCAATGTTTCTACCCCTTCGTCAGGAATCGAACTCGGACCCTCGCCGTGTGAAGCGAGAGCTTTTGCCACCAGACCACGGGGTATACAATACCGACAAGATGAATTAAGGCACGTGTGTGACATCTGGGTATTTCATTTGTAGACGTTAAGCCAGATGGTGAAACGTCTACAAATACAGATATCCAGATGTTGAACCTGTCTAATTAAAACATCTGGGTATCTATTTTCTGCTAGGTGAACTTAGGACCCATAAATATTACTGAGTTGATATTTTTTATACAATTTACCATTCCCATTCTCGTGTAATTAACATGTTAATTATAATTATTAACATTTTAGTGTACAATTTAATTACCTTAATACTGCGGTATTATCAAAATTAGAGATCAAATTAGTTACCCTCGTTAATACCATGGTTTACATTCAAAATACCCAGGTGTAGTCCCGGGCAGATAGACTTGGGGCAAATCTCTCATTTGCTGCCCCTCTTCACCCGAACAGTAAATAAATACCTGGGTGTTAGTAGACTCGTGGGTTGTGTCGTGAGCAGGGAGAGACGTATGGGCTACTTCGCTCCCCAAGAGATAAACTGGTTATAAATGACCATAATTTTTAAAGGGGTGGACCGGTAAGCCAGCGGAAGGCCTCGGTCAGATGACCAAAATCTCCAAAGGCGGGTCATCATCTGACTAAGACCCGCGTCAGGAAACATTTGTCCTGTTTCCTGACGAACCTTACCTACCTACCTCCCTTCGCTCCCCAATGTTCACCTAGCAGTACATAAAGCTCTTGAAGATTTAGTAACGAATCTTAAATTAACATATGTAAATTTATTGAGGCAGAGGTACACTAAGTGTAATTATCATACATAGTGTAAATTAGCAATAGATCCCAGAGTGTCTTCGAGTGTGCTAGACAGGCACCTAAAGTCAGTTCCTGACCAGCCGGGCTGTGGTTCCTACGTTGGTTTGCGTGCCTGGTTTAATGGCCCTGGTACACCGCCAGGCTTCGTTGTGGCCCGGGCCGCAGGGTTGTTGTCCCCCTGGAACACCCTCAAGGAATAACTCGCTCACTTCCACTGAGGTCAACTGCTTAACCATATTTACGATCAATTCAGTAAGTAGCAAGTTAGCCACCTACCCACGTACACGGGAAGATAACACTCCCAGGCACAGGAGAAGTTAACCTCCCAACCCACGTACAGTGGAAGGTAACCCCCCCCCCCACTCCTCCATTTAGAGAAAACTGGAGTCCCAGAGCCCAATAAATTTAAAATGTAATTAACTTGTACGTATTCTTAAAGTTAGCTGCTGTCGTAGGCACGTTAATCACATTTACAGGAACGTTAATCACATGTGTAGGCACGTTAATCACTGTTGCCTGTAACCAAGTATTGATCATTGTTGTAGTGGTGACAGCATAGTTGCTAAAGATTAAGAATTAATCACACCCATAGGCGATTAAGGTATTCAAAATGGCGGCCGTTGGCAGAGAGGTTATCAGAAATGAACTGAACAACTGTACTTGACTGTGCACAGTGACCACACATCTCTACTTCAACACTTATCACTACCTTGAGTAGTTCTCAGAACAGTGATGTTCGGTCTCTACACCCATTATGTGCCTCTGTAATCTTTTGACCACCCATGTGTGTCTGTCTCTGTCTGTGTCTGTCTGTCTCATGGAGATGGGTGCTTCTTCGTCAGGACGACACTTGGCCTGACATGGGTCTTAATCATATAATGACACGTTTATGCCCCTCCCCCCCTCGTGTGTTGCACGACCTTCATTGGTTTAGCGTTCCATCCTGGAAACAAATTTACTTTTATTGCTTTATCTCTGAAATGAAAAGGCGGATATTAATGCGTCTAATTTTTTTTTTTTTAGGTTCCTGGCGCCCGAAATGAAAGGAAGATGTCGGCAGCGTCCCTGGCATCGTACGTCATTGGTAAACTGTCGAGAAGCGCGCCCCTGGAAACGGCAGGCAACGACATGACTGGAAGGTCGCGAAGTGCATCATCTACTCCAAGACTTACGGCTGTATGGAGGGTCAAATCAACTCCGTACGAAATTCCTGTTCCGAACACATCGCCGTTTAAGGAAGATGGATCTTTGTTGAGGCTCCTGAGGGCTAAGTCCATGCCATCGCTGGTCAGGGAAGTAGATTTCACTTCACGAAGTGTAAGAGTCTCTTCACCTACGTCATTCCTCACTCCTGGTGATAGGTACACCAGAAGCCCTTCCCCCTCCCCTCTTAGGAGTAGCTTGGTGAATCCAAGATTAAGTTTCGACCTCGGTGAGGGATCAGACTCCACAGGTGCTTCACTGATTACTCCGATGAATAGTCCCCGTGACGAGTCCCCGGCAGAGCACCGCAAACTCACCCGCTCTGCCTCTGATGGACACATCTGGGCCAGACGCAAGACACATCTCAGAGATGTTAGAGACGAATTTCCCGCTGGTACTCTGCCTTCAGTCAAGAATCTGAAGATCAAGTTTGACAGGAACCTAGAAGGGAAACCCGAAAATAACGCTGAAAGGCACGGGAGAACCGTTTCTAGAAAATTACCACACAGTTCATCAGATGAAGGTGACTGTCCTGGAGGTGACACTGCATCGCAACATGTTACCACGAGGAGAAATAGTAGACACGAAAGTTTGGAGAGGTGGGAAACAGATGCTGTCGAAGTTGCTCGCTTAGACCTGCAGAAACCTCGGAAGTCGATCGGGGAACTTAAACAACGTTTTGAAGTTTGTGTGTCCAGCACAGAGGATGACACACTCCCCACAACACAACTCGGTATACACCAGACGAATCTAGAGACGCGTGTGAGGTATACCGAGGAAACTTCACCACCACGAAAACCCATCACCGTTGAAAGTCAGTCTGAGAGGAAATCTAGGCACAGAGTGAAGAACATAGATGGAACCGCTCGCCCTCGAGCCAAGAGTGAACCAAACCCTTCAGCCATCCGGCGGCTGAGGTACGAGCCTTCACATGTATCAGTGCGGAAGCTCAAGATGCAGTTTGAAATACAGGCAACAATAGAGACAGACTACTCAAAGAAGCCTGTCCCTATACAGAAACTAGTGAACAACTCCCGAAAACACTGCCCAAGGAACCATCACTCCTACCAACTGCAGTAAATATGGTGTCTGCTCAAAATATAGTAAAGGAAAACGAAAAAGAGAGACGATTTAGGTCTGAACTCCCAGAACGTAGCACACAACCCACACAAGTAAGCATTGATAGCAAGATAACTCCTTCAGTGAAGAAACTTAAGAAGCAGTTCGAAGAGGCAGTATTGGCTCAATATCAAGGTAAGAGCGTTGAAAGAGATGATCCCAACAGGCCAAGAACAACTATTAAATCTCAGCTCAGGACCCCTTTCGAAGGCAATAATGACAGTCAAGAGTCCGATAACACGAAGAGGGAGGCAGACCAAGCGCCTGCACCTCAAGCACTCTCATCTACTTTGGTAAAAGATCTTCTACGGCAGTTTGAGACCCTTTCCCCCGAAGAATCCCCCTACGAAGGAGGCCAGAAATTCTTATTTGAGCAGGTTCCTGAAACAAAAATCGAGCAGAAGCCTCCTGATGATGCCAAAGCTGCAGAAGTTGTCTCACACACTCTTGCAGCAAAGAGATTAGAAACAGAATCTATCTTCAAGGTTGATGAATACAGTTTCCCAGATGACAAGGAGTCTACGATCGCGAGTAAGATAGAGGAGATTCACAAGAGGTCAGCATCTTCCAGTGATGAAATTCTTATTACAAGAATGACATGTAATATAACTGACGATGCTCAGGAGAGGAACCAGAAAGTCGATGACGATTGGTCAAAGAAAGAGAAAGAAGTGAAAAATGAGAGTAAAGAGCCAAAACGGATAACTGAAGGAAAAAATGTGCAAGAACATGAAAAAGCAGAAGAGACGACCAAAGACAAAATACATAATGGACAAGAGAAACAGCAACTGGAGGGAAGACAAAGAGTAGAAGACAGCGAGAAAGAGGAAACGGAGCGGAAACTAAAGCAGGCAAAACCAAGAGAATGTAAAGAGAAAGAAATACTTCAAGAACGAAAGAATAAAGAGAAAATTTCACAAGACAGAAAAAAGACGGAGAAAATTGAAACTCAAAACAAGGAAAAGGAAAAAGTGAAGAAACAAGCAGATGAACGAGAGGAGGAAGTAAAACCCGGGAGAGAGAGAAAGGAGAAACCAGAAGAAACTAAAGAAAAACACAGAGAAAATGGGAATGAAATGGAAGGTAAGATCCAACTAACGCTAGATACAGAAGAATGGCAGGAAAGTGAAGAGAAAGTGAACTTACATATTCCCTCTGATAAAAAGGAAGAGCTTGTGAAGGGAAAAAGTGGAAGTATTGAGAAAACAGCTGAAATAAAACAAGAAAGCCAACCAGAGGGATTTGAAGACAATGGACAAAAAACGAGTGTGTTTGCTGATGAGTTCGCCAGCACTCAGGGTAATGAGTGCACAAGTGACCAGTCCAGAAACGTTCTCTTGCAGCTAGAGGATTCTCCTCTTCAGTCTTCCGAACACAAAGTAGGTCAACTGATTGATAGGTTTACTAACCTCCTCGATGTTGATTTTGATAAACTAGAGATTGGTCAGCCTCAGTCCAGTGAAGATGAGGAGAGGCGTCTCTCCGATGTTGCAGCACTGGTCGGCAAGTTTGCCAAGTTAAATAAGATCAGACACTCTTCCTCAGAGTCTGATGAAGCTTCTGAAGGTCCCACAAGTGCTGGGAAGACGGAGGCTGCGCCAATCCCAACTATTCCAGCCAATACAATACCAGGAAAAGTCCGCACGCTTAAAGCTGACGAATTACGTTTCTTCGAGACTGGCAACACCAGCGAGCCATTCATCAGGAGTCAGTCTCTCAGGACGAAGAAAACCGAGCCGCCTCCATTCGTAAAACGTCGAAGTGGATCAATGCGAGAAAAGAAAAGTGGGAATACTTTGCTGCCACCAGAGGACAGCACCAATGCAGCCAAAGCTCTACCACGAAATTGCCGACCACTTCGACCTGATGAACTTCGCTTTTTTGGCATGGGGAATAACAATATATACACCGTAAGGGAAGTAAATACATCCAAAGAGGAAGTGAAAGAGAACAAACAAGAGTCAGAATTCAACCAGGATTTTCGTCTAGCTAGCCAGGGAAATCAGTGTCAACACAACGGATTCCCTGGCGATGATCAAAAGCCCTCAACAAACTACGATTCTGACTCTGATTCAGAAGCAAGCATCCTGAGAGATTGTGACTCGTGTGATTCAGATGAAATTCAACTCGTAGATGAAACAATTGAGTTAGGTGATACCTTTAAGAGTTCCGAAGAAACTGAAATCTCTGATTGTGAGGAGAATCTGAGCTGTGAAATAAAAGAAATCGCTTTAATGAATACTGGAACTGAAGAACTATTGGAACCAGTCGAATGGGACCAAGTGGGTGAGGAAAATTTCCTTGTATTCTCCCTTAGAGGTTCCACAATTAATGAAGAGTATGGCCTTACAAGTATGGCTAAAAAAGAAAATGGGTGTGCCACTGCAGTCACAGAAAACGATGCTTCTATTTACATTAGAGAGGGAACTATACTAGAGACGAGAAGTGTAACAGAAAATACATTGCAAGGTGCGAAGGGCATACTGGCAGAAGCTAAGCTGTGCAGAAACGGCAGTGGGTGTTACAGGGAGATGCACGAAGTTAGTAACAGAGAAGTACAGTGGACAGAGAAAGTTACTCTAAGAAATATTGCAAATTCAGCAACTGTGTTGAAAGATTTTCATGTGCAGATACCACCACTGCCTCATGTTGATACGTACAGTAGTGGGAGAGGAGAATTTACCGAAGAATTAGGAAGTGCGGAACAGAGAGTAGCACAACTGAAGGTAGAGTCGGAACTAATACAATTTTCAGAGAACACCAGTCAAGATAATCACAAGAACATTGACCAGCTTCAGCAAGTGACGGGTTATGAGGCAAAAGACGACGCTGCACACTGCATCCAAGAAACTGAGAATAACATAAATGATGAGCCCCAGAGGTTATATAATATACCAGTGAGTGTCAGAGCCTCAAGTAACTATGAAGAGGAACTGGTTACTCCAGAGGACGCGTGTGAGAGGGAGGAGGAGGAGGACGACAGTGAGAACACCAGCTCAGACACTGATCTTGGACTCGTCGACGAAGCCTTCTTGAAAATGGAAGACGAAATCGACCAAGAAACTCGTGCAGTTCCACTCAGCTTCGAAATAGACTGGTTACAACCTGATTTAAATAAACTGACGAGAAAAGCAGAAAGAGTAAAAGCTGAGAAACACACTAATACTGTTAAAAGCACACCGAGTTTCTTGCACAATGCAGAAGACCTGTTGTGCCTGGGAGGCCTGAGTGACGATGTTATAAACCACGATGAGCAAGCCGTGACTGACAGTAAGATCTCACTTCTTGGGAGAGAGAGAAGTGAAGAGGTGAGAGAGATATATCTTGCTTGTTCTGGGAAGGACGAGGAAGAAGAAAGGATAGAAGACGTGTACCTAGAGTGTTTTGACTTCAGTAATGAGCAACACGTTACTTTATTCAGCCTCTTAGTGTCAGCAGTGACGCTCATGATAGCATTAGCCTCCAATTATTTCTTATCCTGATTGACCTTAATGTTGAAATTAGAAAAGTATAACATTAATTAGTCATAATTGTAAGGCAACTTTATCAAATTAATTTAAGTGTTATATAAAATACCTGTTTAACATTTACCCAACAGTGTAGCAAACATTGAGAATTTTCCCTACATTGACTGTAAACATTAATGGCATTGTCTGTGGCACTAGGTGCTCCCCCCTCATCCCAAGACGCTGTATGACCCCCCCTCATCCCAAGACGCTGTATGACCCCCCCCTCATCCCAAGACGCTGTATGACCCCCCCCCATCCCAAGACGCTGTATGACCCCCCTCATCCCAAGAATCTGTATGACCCCCCCCTCATCCCAAGACGCTGTATGACCCCCCTCATCCCAAGAATCTGTATGACCCCCTCATCCCAAGAATCTGTATGACCCCCCCTCATCCCAAGAATCTGTATGACCCCCCCCTCATCCCAAGACGCTGTATGACCCCCCCTCATCCCAAGAATCTGTATGACCCCCCCCCTCATCCCAAGAATCTGTATGACCCCCCCCCTCATCCCAAGACTCTGTATGACCCCCCTCATCCCAAGACGCTGTATGACCCCCCCCCTCATCCCAAGACGCTGTATGACCCCCCCTCATCCCAAGACACTGTATGACCCCCCCTCATCCCAAGACGCTGTATGACCCCCCCTCATCCCAAGACGCTGTATGACCCCCCCTCATCCCAAGACTCTGTAGACCCCCCCTCATCCCAAGACGCTGTATGACCCCCCCTCATCCCAAGACTCTGTATGACCCCCCCCCCCTCATCCCAAGACGCTGTACGACCCCCCCTCATCCCAAGACGCTGTATGACCCCCCTCATCCCAAGACTCTGTATGACCCCCCCTCATCCCAAGACGCTGTACGACCCCCCTCATCCCAAGACTCTGTATGACCCCCCCTCATCCCAAGACTCTGTATGACCCCCCCCTCATCCCAAGACGCTGTATGACCCCCCCTCATCCCAAGACTCTGTATGACCCCCCCCTCATCCCAAGACGCTGTACGACCCCCCCTCATCCCAAGACGCTGTATGACCCCCCTCATCCCAAGACTCTGTATGCCCCCCCCTCATCCCAAGACGCTGTACGACCCCCCCTCATCCCAAGACTCTGTATGACCCCCCCCTCATCCCAAGACGCTGTATGACCCCCCCCTCATCCCAAGACTCTGACCCCCCCCTCATCCCAAGACTCTGTATGACCCCCCCTCATCCCAAGACGCTGTATGACCCCCCCCCCCCCTCATCCCAAGACTCTGTATGACCCCCCCTCATCCCAAGACGCTGTATGACCCCCCCCCCTCATCCCAAGAATCTGTATGCCCCCCCCCCGTGATTAATCTATCCCTCAGGCTGGAAAGTTGTTATTCAACTACAGGAACAAATAAATCTTTTAAGAAAGTTTAAGTATTTAATAATTTTTATCAAGTGAAAAACTTGGTTTTCCTAATGATTGTTTTTGGTGAAAATTGTTGACTTAATACGAATTATAATGGAAAGTTGACATGTTTTTTTCTCCTTAATTCTTGAATTAAAAATAACGGGTATGAGATAGTTTTTAAGCGCAATGTACTGTGTACTGTGCGGTACTGTACCACTAGTGTATCGTGCAGTACTGTGAATACCACTAGTATATCGTGCAGTACTGTGAGTACCACTAGTATATCGTGCAGCACTGTGAGTACCACTAGTATATCGTGCAGTACTGTGAGTACTAGTATATCGTGCAGTACTGTGAGCACCACTAGTATATCGTGCAGTACTGTGAGTAGTATATCGTGCAGCACTGTGAGTACCACTAGTATATCGTGCAGCACTGTGAGTACCACTAGTATATCGTGCAGTACTGTGAGTACCACTAGTATATCGTGCAGTACTGTGAGTACTAGTATATCGTGCAGCACTGTGAGTACTAGTATATCGTGCAGCACTGAGTACCACTAGTATATCGTGCAGTACTGTGAGTACCACTAGTATATCGTGCAGCACTGTGAGTACCACTAGTATATCGTGCAGTACTGTGAGTACTAGTATATCGTGCAGCACTGTGAGTACTAGTATATCGTGCAGCACTGTGAGTACCACTAGTATATCGTGCAGTACTGTGAGCACCGCCAGTGTATCGTGCAGTACTGAGTACCGCCAGTGGCGTATAGTGCAGTACTGTGAGCACCGCCAGTGGTGTATCGTGCAGTACTGTGAGCACCGCCAGTGTATCGAGGAGTACTGTGAGCACCGCCAGTGTATCGTGTGGTACTGTGAGCACCGCCAGTGTAGCGTGCAGTACTGTGAATACCACTAGTATATCGTGCAGTACTGTGAGTACCACTAGTATATCGTGTAGCACTGTGAGTACCACTAGTATAACGTGCGGTACTGTGAGCGCCAGTGTATCGTGCAGTACCGTGAGCACCGCCAGTGTATCGTGTGGTACCGTGAGCACCGGCAGTGTATCGTGCAGTACTGAGTACCGCCAGTGGCGTATAGTGCAGTACTGTGAGCACCGCCAGTGGTGTATCGTGCAGTACTGTGAGCACCGCCAGTGTAGCGTGCAGTACTGTGAGCACCGCCAGTGTATCGTGTGGTACTGTGAGCACCGCCAGTGTAGCGTGCAGTACTGTGAGCACCGCTAGTGTATCGTGTGGCACTGTGAGCACCGCCAGTGTAGCGTGCAGTACTGTGAACACCAGTGTATGGTGTGGTACTGTGAGCCCCGCCAATGTATCGTGTGGTACTGTGAGCACCGCCAGTGTATCGTGTGGTACTGTGAGCACCGCCAGTGTAGCGTGCAGTACTGTGAGCACCACCAGTGTATGGTTTGGTACTGTGAGCACCACCAGTGTATCGTGCGGTAGTGTGAGCACCGCCAGTGTATCGTGCGATACTGTGAGCGCCAGTGTATCGTGCAGTACTGTGAGCACCAGTGTATGGTGTGGTACTGTGAACCCCGCCAGTGTATGGTGTGGTACTGTGAGCACCACCAGTGTATCGTGCGGTAGTGTGAGCACCGCCAGTGTATCGTGCAGTACTGTGAGCAGTGTATGGTGTGGTACTGTGAGCACCGCCAGTGTATGGTGTGGTACTGTGAGCACCAGTGTATCGTGCAGTACTGTGAGTACCACTAGTATATCGTGCAGTACTGTGAGTAGTATATCGTGCAGTACTGTGAGTAGTATATCGTGCAGTACTGTGAGTACCACTGGTATATCCTGCAGCACTGTGAGTACCACTAGTATATCGTGCAGTACTGTGAGTACTAGTATATCGTGCAGTACTGTGAGTACCACTAGTATATCGTGCAGTACTTTGAGTACTAATATACCGTGCAGTACTGTGAGCACCGCCAGTGTATCGTGCTGTACCTGAGCACCGCCAGTGTATCGTGTGGTACCGTGAGCACCGCCAGTGTATCGTGCAGTACTGAGTACCGCCAATGGCGTATAGTGCAGTACTGTAAGCACCGCAAGTGGTGTATCGTGCAGTACTGTGAGCACCGCCAGTGTAGCGTGCAGTACTGTGAGCACCGCCAGTGTATCGTGTGGTACTGTGAGCACCGCCAGTGTATCGTGTGGTACTGTGAGCACCGCCAGTGTATCATGTGGTACTGTGAGCACCGCCAGTGTAGCGTGCAGTACTGTGAGCACCACCAGTGTATGGTGTGGTACTGTGAGCACCGCCAGTGTATCGTGCGGTACTGTGAGCGCCAGTGTATCATGCAGTACTGTGAGCACCACCAGTGTATGGTGTGGTACTGTGAGCACCGCCAGTATCGTGGGGTACTGTGAGCACCGCCAATGTATCGTGCGGTACTGTGAGCACCGCCAATGTATCGTGCGGTACTGTGAGCACCGCTAGTGTATCGTGCGGTACTGTGAGCGCCAGTGTATCGTGCAGTACTGTGAGCACCAGTGTATGGTGTGGTACTGTGAGCACCGCCAATGTATCGTGCGGTACTGTGAGCACCGCTAGTGTATCGTGCGGTACTGTGAGCGCCAGTGTATCGTGCAGTACTGTGAGCACCACCAGTGTATGGTGTGGTACTGTGAGCACCGCCAGTATCGTGCGGTACTGTGAGCACCGCCAATGTATCGTGCGGTACTGTGAGCACCGCCAATGTATCGTGCGGTACTGTGAGCACCGCTAGTGTATCGTGCGGTACTGTGAGCATCGCCAATGTATCGTGCGGTACTGTGAGCACCGCTAGTGTATCGTGCGGTACTGTGAGCACCGCCAATGTATCGTGCGGTACTGTGAGCACCGCTAGTGTATCGTGCGGTACTGTGAGCACCGCCAATGTATCGTGCGGTACTGTGAGCGCCAGTGTATCGTGCGGTACTGTGAGCGCCAGTGTATCGTGCGGTACTGTGAGCGCCAGTGTATCGTGCGGTACTGTGAGCGCCAGTGTATCGTGCGGTACTGTGAGCGCCAGTGTATCGTGCGGTACTGTGAGCGCCAGTGTATCGTGCGGTACTGTGAGCGCCAGTGTATCGTGCGGTACTGTGAGCGCCAGTGTATCGTGGGGTACTGTGAGCGCCAGTGTATCGTGCGGTACTGTGAGCGCCAGTGTATCGTGCGGTACTGTGAGCGCCAGTGTATCGTGCAGTACTTTAAGCGCCACCAGTGTATGGTGTGGTACTGTGAGCACCGCCAGTATCGTGCGGTACTGTGAGCACCGCCAATGTATCGTGCAGTACTTTAAGCGCCACCAAACATTCACATTTACCCTCCATCTATTCTGAACTCACCAACAGCCTGAATGATCACACACTGGGACCAGATTAATTGAATGGAGAATAGACCCCGCACCTTCCATTGTGCAGAACGACCCTCAAGCATTTAGCGCTCCCCATTATTATAAATTATCGTATGATCATTTTCCGTTACAGCTTAAGCTGTTTCTCTCTCTCTCTCTCTCTCTCTCTCTCTCTCTCTCTCTCTCTCTCTCTCTCTCTCTCACTCACCTATTTGTATTTCTGTATTGTTTTGTTTATCTCCAAAGTCTGCTATGTATTTTAGATTTGTATTAATCAGAAATTTATGAAATTCACATTACATATACATTTATACATCAAAGGTAATCTTGTATACAGGTATAAATCAAAGGTAATCTTGTATACATGTATAAATCAAAGGTAATCTTGTATACATGTATAAATCAAAGGTAATCTTTTATACATGTATAAATCAAAGGTAATCTTGTAATATACAGGTAATCTGTAAAGTCTAATCAAGGTAATCTTGTATACAGGTATTAAACAAAGGTAATCTTTTAAACAGGAATAAATCAAAGGTAATATTGTATACAGGTATAAATCAAAGGTAATCTTGTATACAGGTATAAATCAAAGGTAATCTTGTATACAGGTATAAATCAAAGGTAATCTTGTATACAGGTATAAATCAAAGGTAATCTTGTATACAGGTATAAATCAAAGGTAATCTTGTATACAGGTATAAATCAAAGGTAACAGACACGAATTAGTGAAGACTTCATTTTAAAACCGGATGTAAAAGACCCATACGAGTTCAGCGCTTCCCAAAATATATAATAAATTTGATATTGGATGAGTTCTAATTCTTTTGTTCAATTTTTGTATAAATACTTCATATTTCCCTTTTATGTGGGAGGGAGACTGATCCCTGCGGGCTTAGCGCTTCCCTGTGTATGTCACGGTGTTCGACTCGTAACCGAGAGGACCGAAGTTTGACTCTCGGGTTAGGGAGAGACATGGTCGTCACCTTACATCTGCTGCTACCCCCCCTTCCCCCCTGTTAACCTAGCAGTAATTAGGTACCTGGATACTGGATTCCTTTCACTTACTACTGCTCTTCACCTAGCAGTAAGTAGGTGCCCTGGTATTGGATTCCGTGCACCTGCTACTATTCACCTAACCGTAAGTAGGTACCTGGGTGTTAGGAGACTGGTGTGGGTGGCATCCTGGGAGAAGAGAACTAAGGACATCAAGGGAATTAAGCCACACTGCCTGGCTTTCTTGGGTTGTTAACTGCTAAGCCATTTCAAGGTGAGTGCTCCTATGTTGAACGGCTCTTCATCCAAAGAATCGAAACTCCTTCCTTGTATAAGGGTGATTGTGCCTAATTTCCCTTGAGCTGTATGACCCTTAAGGGTTTAATGCTTCCCCGTGAATAATAGTGTTTGTCTATTCCTTCTCGTCCTGCTTTTCGGTATCTCATTTACACTTTCTCACTTTCTCTTTCTTTCTTTCTCTCTCTCTCTCTCTCTCTCTCTCTCTCTCTCTCTCTCTCTCCATTTTCTCAATTCTTGGTCTCTAGTTTGTTTACCGTGTAGTTTGTGGAGAGCTCAGCTTCAAACAAGACAGCTGCCCCACCCACCAACCTCACACACCTGTTACCTGCAGCTGCTCCACAATCACCTGGTCTATACTCATCTCTCACACACCCGTTACCCGCACTTGTTCGGCACTCACCTGGTCTATACTCATCTCACACACCTGTTACCTGCACTTGTTCGGCACTC